CAATAATTAGGTACAAACATCGCAACACAAAACACAGCTACATCATTATTTGCAACAAATGTTAACTCTAAATAAGTGCAACCTGTCCCACAAACACTTGCTATAAACGACTTAAAAATAAAAGTAAAATTTGATGGGGTAAACACAGAAATAAAAAAAAAATTCTCGGTGAGAATTTTTTTTGTTAAAAAAAATTAAAATAAAAATCTCAGCACTCATTTAGAGTTCAGGATCTTGTGAAAGAAAGCTTTAAAAGGAGCAAACCTGATTTGCTGTGGCTGTTGCGGCGAAGGGAACACTTGTTGCAGGAGTTGTTGCTGCAGAGACAGTGGCGGCCGTAGCGTTGTGCATCATGGGTACTTTCAGGAGGGGAACCATGGAAGCAATGAACAGGAGGGTGCAGCATTATGGTAAGAGAAGTGGTATTTTTGGCATGGTGAATATCAAGAGCGGCAAGCCATCGTCATGGGTTAAACCGGCAGATGGCATGCAATCACAGTGCAAAGCGAGAAAGCGTGGCGGAGAAATAAAAAAAAAGGGAAAATAGCTTATTACAAGTACAATTAAAGGAAGGTTGTCAACACAATCGGCGATTCCCAGAAAAAAAGAGTAAGGACCACTGAAAATGCAAGTGTTATCTTCAATAAGAAGATTACTTGTGCAAATGAGGCCTTTAACAGAATTGCCCGTTACCCAGTACAGATATAAAGCGCTTCAAAATAAAATCCTACTAAAAAAAACCCAGTGGTTTATACTGGGRAAAAAAAAAMCTGTTAAATGTTTATCTTAATTTTTAAACACAATTGAAAATGAATTATTTTCATGTATCTTCATTTTGAAGTAAGCCAGATACTCTCTCTCCTTTTTTATAATCCAATTTATGCGTTTTTTCCTACTAGCACTGCATAAGTGTTCGACTTTATCAGAGTTAAATTACCATCAGCTTGAGGCAAAAATCAGGAGAGGGATGATAATAATTATCCTGATATATACACTACTTTGTTTGATCTAAAAAAGGAAGATCGATTTTATGAAAGACACTGCTTTTGCTCATTTTAGGAATGAATTTTAATCAGCATCTTCATGGGGGAATTATTAATTTGATGTTTTAAAGGCTTGGTATTTTAACTGTTTATCTGAGTAGGCCCAAAACCCCAAAATAAAATCACTGGGATAGGGCTACAGAAGAAAGATTACTTTTCTGTCTCAGAGGCTGTTGCATTGGACTTCCACTTCGCATGCCCAAAATGTTAATTTCAAGCTGCAAATATATTTAAAGAAAAAGTGAGATTCAGATCACGAGTTTCAACAGAACCTCTGTGGATCAAAGTAGGCATTTCTGGGAAACGCTGATAAAACTTTCTAACACACAGCAAAGGAGAAATAGGCACACCACTATGAAACTTTAAAACACTGATGAAATTTGCTGGCTTTTTCCAGTATTTTATGATTTTATAGTACTAGACAATATAAAATATAAAGAGAAATAAAACTTTGAAAACTGAAAAGCAGACTGGAATTCATGGTATTATGCTTTTGCAGTGTAGTTGTTATAGCAGGTGATATCATGTCTAAACTGCAGCTTTCATCTACAARTCTAAACACTCTGCAAAGTCAACCAGAAGGACAAGCGAACCTTTAATTCTAGTCAGTGTCTAAATCTCGCCTAGGATTTTCGAAACAAGTGAATACACATCATATACAGTATAAAAAAGAGATCAATAAAGAAATTTGGAACCTACCAATACTGGTAGCGGGTGTCATGCACAAAACTGACCCTGCGTGTCATGCAATGATAGGTGAAAAAAGTGGATAAAGGGAAGAAACAGGTTAGCTGTTTAGAGTTAACATTCAAAGTGAGATTCAAGCATAACCACAGAGAAGTAAGTTAGTTAAATGAAACTGTAAGGTCATTCACAGTTTTGCTTTAACACAAAGAGGTGATTATATTCTCATTAAACTCCTGTACATACTGTGTGGGTTTTGGTATGTTTTCTGTACATATTCAAGATACTTCACAAACTTTTTTACTTATTAATTTTATCCTTTTATTTGCTACTTTTGCAGCAACAGACTTTTGTTTACAGAAACATCTTTGCTYAAAGATCACAGTATTTGGGACTTAGAACTCATTGCATAATTCAGACAGCTCAATGCTTCACGGATCAATATCCACCAATTTTTTGACATGTGGCAGAAAAAGAAAAAATTAAAACAATATTTTGCACAGGCTTTGCCAAATTTGTATTTGATGTTAATGTACCCATTCTTAACACAAAGAAAACTTTTACAAGTCCCAAGCTAAAGCATGTAACATTGCAGCAGAAGGCTCCCAGCACACCTCAGAGACACTGTGGGATGACTGCTCACCTGCCATGCAGTTTAGTTTTGATGCCTGGTCCACCTTTAACCTTTCTGGAAAGGCCAAATGAAAGGAAGAGACTGGCCTATTTCCAGCACAGTGCATACAGCAAGCTGGTGAAGGCAAGCAGGTAAGGAGACCAGTACCAGGTACGTGCATATTTGATACAGGGTTGAATGTGCTTCCTGTATTCCTGCTGAATTACTACTGCAGCCCCTCACTGGACCATCACAGGGCTTGCACGACTATGAATGACCTTACCCAAGACCAGTCCCCAGAGAACACACAAAGTTCCTCCTCTAGAGGCTATAGAAACACTAACAAACAGCAATGGGAGGAGAGAAAGATCTGTTGTTTTTAAGATCATTTACCAAACAATAAGGAGAAGGTGACAAAGCAATCAAACTGATGTAAAACAAACGAAGTGCAGAACTTCAGAGGTAAGCCATGCTAAGTCAAGCCCCACACTTTTTTATTAGGGGAGCCAGTGGTTAAGAAAGCAAAAAAGTTATATAAAACAATTCAGTTTTATATATATTCCAGCAGCAAACTTGTCTTAAAATTTAACACGCACGCGCACACACACACACAAGGAACACATTTGAAAATTATACCAGTTTTGAAAATATCACATAATCATTTAAAATCCAACAGAAAATGTCATGCATTGCTTCTTAGACGTGGATGGCATGACAGTCCTTACACCCACCAAATCCAACCTTCCCAGGATATGTGGGAATATCACATGTAGCATCTTTAATGGAAAGCTCATGACACCAATTCTCACAGAGGGTGTTCCCCTTTCCTAAACTCCTCCCATACCCCACTCCACTCTTTAATATCCTTTCTTGGTGCTGATGGTGTTTGAAAAGAGCAGGAGGTTCATCACTTTGAGAAAAGTTTTCTATTCTGGGGCTTGGGCTCCATCTGCTATTTTATACCTCTGTTTCTTTTTTTTTTTTTTTTTTTTTTTTTTTTTTTTTTTTTTTTGGGGATTGACAACAACCTGGCCCTTAAGATTTGGTTCCAAGATCCACCCTTTCTACCACCAGAAATTTGTTAGATAAAATTACAGTTACAACGATTACTTGGAAAGAGGGATGGACAATAAAAAGTACAAAAAGTGAGCTACTTAAAGAAGCATGAYCATTCCAAAAGCCTGGAAAATATCCAAATGCTTTTTGACTGAGAAAGATTTAAACTACTGCCTTTTTCATAGTTAATTTGAAGTTCTTATAAATTGCAAATAAGAGCAGTAAGCCCTGAAAGGAAGTGCTTAAGAAGGAAAAACGCCTATCATGCTACAAATTCTCAGAATTTCAATGTAAAATAAATTCGTGGAAATTTCTGTATGCTCTGTAAGCACAGGGCAGTCTTCCATTCATGTCCAAATAGGCGGTCTCATAATTTATTTATTTTTTTTCAAACACTCCCATAAATGTCAGTGTGTTTTCTGCCACAGATATTCTGGTGCACCAATGTGCTAAAAATAAGGCTATGCTATTACTTACTATTACAAATAYGGGGGCAGGCTCCAAGGTTGTTACTGAGGCCTTATAGAAAAATTCCATGAAGTCAAAGCCATCTGTGTTTGTTTTTTATCTTTAAAAACATATGGGAATGCTGATAGATTGGGAAATCATCATGTGTTSCCTTTCATTCCTTGTTTAACCGACATTATTTCTATAAGCTAAAATAACATTGCTGAAATGTCAAGTACATTTGCAAACAGGTAGTTTTAAACAATTCTGAAGTTCACACTTGACAACACCCTGACACTACAATACGTAATTTGTTAATTACTAATGAAATCACAGAGTTCCTTTGGCAGGATATTCTCCTTTGGGAAGTTTGGAGTCGGAGTGACTGACACAATTTAGAGGGTTGTGCTGTTACTGTTTACACGAGCATCCAGCACATCCCTTCTCTCGTAGTGTTAAAGGAAATCCCTGCTACCAGCCAGGGTGCAGGTCAAAGCCATCTCTGATTTTCACAGAGCTCTGAGCACTGAAATGTAAATTACATTCACTCATCTTCAGATCATCCCTATGAAGAACTACAGCCCCAGCTATGAGCCTCAAATGCTAGGAAAAGTTCTGGTGGTGCTCCAAAACCATAAAAATGCATCTGATGCCTGAAAGCCCTTTAGTGCACCTGCGGGAAGCAATGATGTGTTTTGCCAGGGCTTCCACACAGGTATTGATTGGAAGTTTATGGCTGGTGTTCYCCTTCTCAGGATGCTCGTGTGCGGCTAGAGAAATCCCCACGGCTGCAAAACAGCAGCTGAGGGAACAGGAAGATGCTGTGGCATCTCTGAAGTGTGATGCTGYTCCCAGCATTTTTGTTTGTGGAACAGATACGCATCAAAAGCCAGCTATTTAGGGTAGGCAAAAAGAGGCAAACTCTGGAGAATGATGAGCGAGGCTATGGATGTGCAAAAAAGCAGCTTCATGGCATGTTGAAATTTCTGCTTGAATTCTTGTCCTTTGCAAGAGGCATTAAAATAACGTGTAATCATCTGTGCAGGCTTCCCCTCAAGTGGGGCAGGGAGCATAATAAAACCTTCTGTTAAGTGCAACTGCCTGACACGGAGGCTACCTCAGGGACACAAAAGTGATGCAATGTGGATACAACATACCTGTTGGGATAAACGCTGCATGCTGCTGCAACTGAGCATTGGCAAGAGCCTGTTGATAGTGCAAGACACTGGGATTGAAAACGGCACTGGCACCATTGCTTTTTTCAAGTGCTTGTCTCTTTGGTAAAGGGTGAAGAACACCAGGAGGAAAGGCCTGTAAATAAGAAAGTTAGTTAAAATGGCGCCATTTTTAAGACCTTGTCCGTAACATATACATAAATACAAAAACTTARTATTATTTAAAGCAGCTAAAGATGCCTCGCCATGCATATTAACTCAAAGCACAGCAATGTAAAATGAGTGAAATCTTGTTATTGGTAGCAAAAGCATGGTACTATTAACCTAGAACTGTAGCAGCACAACTACTGAAAAGAAACGTTTGCTTTAAAGCAACRAAAATGGCATTGCCTTGAAGTAGGTTTTCAAATATTACAGGGAGAAAAAACCACTTGTGTTTCATTGCCAAGTATTTTCTTTTATTTTTAAATTTAAATATCATTTCCTATTATTATACAGATTAATGGATTACGTTATGCGTTTTCAATTACAAAAGCAGTTTTATCTCAATTTGACTTTTCATGAGAGATTTAAAAAAGATGAAACTGTGTTAGGAACCAAACTAAATCGTCTGCGGTCTATTACGTATGAGAATGAGATGGATAAATAGAGCTTCCAGTAAATTAACGAGTATGTGAAATCATTTCCGGTTGATGTTTGAAAAGTAAAGCGATACAAATTTCATTAGTTGCTTCTCTGAAGGAAAAAAAAATAAATTATAATAAAATAAACCAAAAAAACCAACAAAAAAAAAAAGCTACATGCAAAGCAAAAGGTGAAAGGTCAAAGTACCAGGTCTACAGTTGCTTCGAGAGGTCGCTTCATTGCTTTGGCAGTCGACTGAGTCTTTTAATAACAGGCAGCGAGCACATGATGGCAGTGGGCCAATGGGAGTCAAGCGAATTAACATACAGGTAAACAGCAAGCAGAGGTGCGTCATGGGAACGGCATTGCATTTGTGGATAGGTGAGAAGGAAAAAAATATTCTGAATGCAATATACAACATACAAAACACTAGGCATGCACAACAACAAAAATGTCTTCTAAAGAAATGAATATTACATTTTGAATTAGTACCGAAGCAAAAATGCATCTACTATACCTTAGTTAAAAGCATATAAGAGAGTAAAATATAGATGTTTGAAATTCAGGAAAGTTGAGTAAAACAGCAGCTTGCAGACACTATTAAGCATCATATAAACACTTCACAGAGATGCAGAAAGTTTTAAGGATACACCTATTGGAATTCCTGATAAGTTAGTTCAGTCACATTTTAAAGCGGGAAAATTGATTTGGGAGGCTACATTTTCAAATACAAAGCACAAAGAAAGTTGTAATGCATTACAAATGCTATTAATATCAGTGCTTACAAGGTGAGTGTCGTTTAATTTAGAGAAGTGAATCATTCAATTGATTTGGGGAGTCAAAATGAGACAGGTTCTCCTTTGCCAATACAAAATAGAGYACAGAGTACATCTACTTACACCAACTTATCATTAATTCCTTTTCTCCTACAGCTGGGTCATTTTTGTAGGTTTTTTTTTCCTTGCAACTTACCACATTACATTGAGCGGGAAAAAAAAGTCTTTCAGAACTGAAAGCATACTTTCTAAATTTTGCTMTAACCTTCAGTAGTAGCTTCAGGAGCAGGGAGCAAAAATAGTGCTCCCAGTTCATAAGCAAACATTGACATATGAGTTATGATACTAGTCCAGCACTATTAATTTTTCAGAAGAAAGTATTTAGGCATAGTACACAGGCATATACATTTATGTATACTTTGATAGCAAATTCAAACTTGTGGCTGATTTGAAAGCATTCTGTAGAAAAAATTCTCATCTAAAATATTGCTTTCAAGTTTTATAGTGTAAATAATTCTTACAAACCTTTAGAAAGAAAAACTGACTTAGAAATCAAAAAACCTACTTTTGTTTTTTAAACACAGGCTGATATTTAGCTCTTTTTAGAAATATGCAGATTAYGTCTACCTTGAAATCAGTATGTGGAAATAGGGAACAAAAGTTGAGGGGGGGAAAAGGACAAGGCACAAAATGCCTGCAAACAGCTTGTGGGCATAGGTTTATCAGGAGCCAACAGCATATTCTGCAGGATAGTCCTCATTTTGCTTATTCCTTGTTYCTGTCTCTGTTGCATGAGTCTTCTCAAGACCTTCCTCATCTCTTCTTTAGCACTTTTCTGGATTACATACCCTGATCTACAGGATCTGCCCCAAGACCCAGACACRAGAAGAAACACCTGGCCTGAGGCAGAGATCTGGACAGACTTGTGGGGCACAGCGCAGCCCAGGTGGGGCACCCTCCACAGGTACCAMTGCAGGGGACATCACTGCACAGCCTCAGAGCCACTCTGCCTCCACCACAGATGGAGGGAGGTCTGCACAGGGGTGATGCAGTACAACCAAATTCAGTGTTAGGCAATTATGAGGTCCACAAGTTCAAATCAACGTCACTAAGAGTAAAGCGTTTCAGTTAATTACCTTTATTATCCAAATACAGATCTTATCTAGTCTMACTTGTTAACTTATTATCTCTCTGYTTATTAYTGCCTTTCTCCAGTTTTTCTCCATGCGCTCTCACCTCCCCATTTTGAGGCTTTCTTCTGGCTTTCCCATCATGTTCCCCAGCAAGTTTGGTCTCACAGTTTTCCCAACCTGAAAGGTTTGATCTGTTCTAAACCTACTCATCAATCTTGCTTCCATGTGGTCTCCCACTCTTTTCAGGCTTTCAAACTGCTCTTTTGCTCTCCTACATTTATATTTTATTTCATCCTGATAGTAAAACCCCCTTTGTCTCTTTCTGTTCCATCAGATTATCTCCTCAACATTTGATCTACATAACTAACAACCAAAGAATCAGTAGCTACAGGTTGGAGAGGAAGAAGACACAAAAAGGAAATAAAGATAATATTAAAAATGATCAAACATCTGAGGCATAGCATTTGTCTACTGTACTGCACATTGGTATGCTCCAATGTCTCCTGGAATACAAACAAGATCCACACAGCAGTGGCCTCCACGGATGTGCAAGGAGCTCCTGACTAAACTCAAACAAAAGAAGGAAAGCACACAAGAGGCAGGAGCAGGGACAGATGGCTCAGCAGGAACAGGGACACMGCCTGAACATGCAGGGATATGTTARGAGAGTCAAAGATCACCTGGAGCTGAATCTGGAAAGGGATGTGAAAGACAACCAGAAGGGCTTCTCAGTAACAAAAGGAAGATTAGAGAAAATGTGTTTCCACTGCTGAAYGGGGCAGGCAGCCTGGTGACACAGGACATGGAGAAGGCTGAGGTTCTGAAAATCCTTTCCATCTCAGTCTTTACTGGCAAGACTGGCCTTCAGGCCAGCAGGAGACCAGTGGGAAAGTCTGAAGTGGAAAAGATTTTCCCTTGGAGAAGGATGATCAGGCTAGGGAACCTTTAAACAAGCTGTATGCATACAAACCCATAGGAACTAACAGAATGCACTGACGGGTGCTGAGGGAGCTGGCGGATATCACTGCAAGATTACTCTTAATTAACTATGAAAGATCTGTGTGGCTGGGGGAAGTTCCCAAAGACTGCAAGAAAGTAAATGACAATCCTATCTTCAAAAAGGGCAGGAAGGAAGCTCTGAGGACTGACAGGTTGGTCAGCCTCACCTCAGTCCCTGGGAAAGCAGTCAAGTAAATCCTCCTGAAAACCATCTGCAAACATGTGAAAGCCAAGACAATGATGGGAAGTAGTCAGCACAGATTTATGACAGGGATATTGTGCTTGACCACCCTGACATCCTTCCATGATGAGACTGGCAGGCTGGTAAAAGGAGAGCAATGGATGTTGTTTCTCTTGACTTCAGAAAGCATTTCAACACCATTTCATCTTCACAGACAAATTTATTTACTATGGGCTAAACGGGAAAGAGTGAGGTGGACTGACAATTGTCTCATGTGCCAGGCTCAGAGGGATGTGATCAGCAACACAGAGCCCAGCTGGAGGCAGTCACCAGTGGTGTACAACGTGGAGGAGTGGTTGATACACACTRTAGATGTGCTACTGCTCAGAGGGACTAGAAAGTCTGGAGAAATGGGCAGAAAGGAACTTCACTAAGTTCAACAAAGAGAAATATCAAGACCTGCACCCAGGGAGGAACGACACAAAGCACCAGCACACACTGGGGGCCACAAGGGCTTGGCAGAAAAGACCCTAAAGGTCCTTGGTGGGCACCAAGCCAGCAGTGTGCCCTCATCAGCAAAGGCAGCTGATGGCATGCTGGGCTGCACTGGGGAGAGCATCACCAACARGTGATTGTCCCTCTCTACTCAGCCCTGGTGAGGCCACATATGGAGTACTATGTCCATGTCTGGGTACCCCAGTATGATAAAGATACAGATGTGCTAGAAAACACTCCCATAAAGGACCTGAAAGATAATCAGGGGACTGGATTCAGCCTGGAGAAGATACAGGGGAATCTCATTAGTGTATACAAATATTGATTTCAGGGTAGAGATAGAGCCAGTGGTGCCCAGGGACAGGAGAAGAGGCAACGGGAACAAATTTAAGAATGAGAAATTCCATTTAAATGTAAGATTAAAAAAAAAAAAAGGAAAAAAAAAAAGAAAAGCATTTATTTTTCCTGGAAGTATGGAAGAGGTTGTCAAATTATGGAATTTCCATCCTTGGAGACTTTAGTAAGCCAAAGAGGCACATCCTTGGCAATCTCCTTTAGCTCACCGCTTAAGCAGGGGAAACGGGCTGGAATATTTTGTACATATTTCTATGCAAAACGTTACCCTGAATTACAGGTCCCTGTTGCCTTCTCCTGTGACATTAAGCTGCTAACATTTCAATTCTGTGCTTCCAAAGATGCTTCATCTTGCTTTGAGGCTAATGTAACTCTAATTAAGCCTTATTTAAAATCACAGGATATATATCTGCAACCATTACTGAAGTGCAAAAAAAATTAATCCCCTCATCTCTCTCCTTTCTTATTTAGTATAGTGTCTAGAAATATTACATTCTCTAAATTAACAATAAATAYTGCACAACAGAAGCTAATCAGAATAAAAACCCAATCTTCTTGCTTTAATTTCCAGATGGTATTTAATTTCTGCAAGCACAGGAAACCTTAGCTAAAAGTCATCCAATTTGAAACAAAGGCTGGGGATACTTATTAGAAAAAGAATATTGAAACTTAAGAAATATTTTTCTRTTTGGTGGTTTACTTTCTTGCATAACTTACCCTTTAAAAAGTCTGGTCTTTTCTAATTTGTTATATACAATAGCTTGGGGTAGTTATGTACTGTACTGTATTGTGTTTCTGGTAGGCTTTTTAACCAGAGAAAAACTGTATTGTTTATAACTATTGCATGCACTGCCCACAAGTCCACAAACCACATCTGCTTAATTATTCGTCCACTGCCAGCAATGAGGACAATGATTCTTTGATTTGCTGCCAGCAGTTTTGTCTCTCAAGTCAGATCCTGTATGTTCAATTCAAATATAACTTTATCAATACCACTGTAAATTTATCAACTTTCCTGGTAGCAACTATGAGAGGGATCCAACCCTGGTAAAGGAATGGGCTGTCTTGTCTGAACTGTTATAAGTAAGAGGTTAAAATACCTAAAAATAAAAGCCCTCACTCTCTTTTCTTCTGACTGTTGCTACAATGTTTTTTTTTTTTTTCTCATTATTCCCATTATAGTTTACTATATATTTTTTAACCCACCCTGTGATTCAAGTAACTGGTCCATAACAGCAGGAGAGGTAAGAAGTCTCTAGGCATGAGATGCATCTAACCAAAGTTCAAAAAGATAGAAGCAACAGTTTTAAGTCATTGGGAATAGTTGTAAATCTACAGACGGCAATTCTTTCACATCCCCAGATATGCACTAAGAGTAGATCAGATGAGTGTCCCGGTTTTTTTACACTACCAGTACAGTGAGACCAAGGTGGCTTTCTGTCTGTCTCATTTCTAAGGTAGGCTGTGCTGATTCTCAATGCAGGTTTCTGTTCTACTACTGATCTCTGAAGCAAACACTCTCTTTGCTTTTCTTCCAAATTTCCACAAGTATATCTGCCATCAAAGAGCTAACACAGCATATGTGTCCTTGTTTTCCTGGGAACACTGAAGCTTATCAGTTTTGTTTCTGTTTGGAAATACTAGGGACAAATTTACATGTAATTAAGGCAGAGAACAGAAGTGGTATAGAATGTCATTTGCTTCACTGTCTTGAATTGAAATACAGCATTAAAATAAGGGCATAAAGAAAAGAAAGTGCTTCCTCCCATCAAGCAATAGTAATAATTTAATAAGTTTTTATCTTTCACCAAAATAAAAAATTAAAAAAAAAAAAAGAAAAAGAGGCAAAAGAGAAAAAAAAGTACAAGCAAACAGCATTAAATTGAAGCAAAATAGGCATAAAAAAAAAAGGCAGCCATACATGCCAGCACTTACCATCACAGTCGCAGCTGCCGCAGCTGCCTGGGCTGCCACTGCAGCCTGGTTGGCTTGGTGTTGCGCCGCTTTGATTTTGGCCTGCAAATGTGCAGGAGGGTGAAAATACTTGCATTTCTCCCTCATGCAACGACCTTTTATGTAATCCATACACACGGTTACGGTGTTGTCGTTTGTGTCAATCATTGTGCTGTCTGCCGGATGCGCAAAGCGGCAATCAGTCTCTCCACGCGCACAGTTCCCCCGCTGGAACTCCCTGCACACCTACGTGCAAAACAACACACGTTGCAGGGGCACAGCTCGGTGCAACATGGAAGGGCAAGGAGAGGCCCGTGACCCCAAAAGACAGACCTGCCCCCTTCCCCCGTTAGTTCAAGTTTTACAGCAAATTCAATTCGATAAACCCTTCATCTTCTGGTGGGAGAGGTGAGTGCATCTATTTTACCCTTGTGCCCTTGGCTCCTCAGGTAGCTCTCTGGTACTGTGGCTAAATGAACTTAACATGCAACAGAAGCATTCCCAAATGCCTTTCCTGTTTCCTGTTTAGAAAGCAGCTGGGAAGGATACTTACTCACGTAACTGCTCCTGCAAAACTAGCTGGGAATCACAAAATATTTTGTCTCTTTCTGACTACACTTTGTACTCTCGCAGGTGGACTGGTAGGGGAGGAGTTCCTCTTGCTGAAACCCAGGGAAAACACACATCAGATGCACTGTATTTTTTACAGAGTCTACAAACAAAATTGAGAGCCTACTTAAAAATAATTTTCAAAATGGCAGAACGAACACGCTGATTTTCCCAAGAAGAAATGCGCTCTAGACACTGGTGCTTAGGCTTTTGGGAAAGGACATTCATTTCTGCAAGAGCCATTTGGCCTCCTTGTGTACTTGGATCACAGATTCCACTGAATCCAGCCACACAGTGATCCAGATACAGCTGGGAGGCTCTGCACATAGCTGGGGGCTTGTCCCTTCAGCCWGCTGCAGCATTGGTAATATTCAATATCTCCACTGGCAGCTCAGGGCTGAAGGGCTATACCATTCCCCTAATATTGATCCACAAGGCTATAAAATTCCCTAATTATCAGTGCAGAAAAACCAAGACAATTAATACTGAAATAAATGTGCGTTGGATATTTCATCAAAGCATGTCTTTACAGGCATGTACACCTGAGGATTTTTTGGAGATGATGAACATTACAAATTATGAAAATTCATGTTGATGTCTGTATTGAATAGAAGCAAACACACTACCTTAATAACAACAGCATTTAATTACCAGTGGCTGCAAGCACAGAAATCCTGCCTGGTTACAGGTTTTTTATCTGTAGCAACTAAATTTAAGCTTCACTTCTAAAACAACAAGTTACGCCCTCCAGGATCTTTCACATAGCCTAACAGAGCATGTGTTTCTAGTCACAGTGGTGTCTACAGTACCTCCAGTTTATCAGTCCTGAGGAGTTTCTGGGTAGCAGTTGAACTGGGGACTGAAACCGGTGGACTTCCGGGAACAATGACAGGCGGCGTGGGCAGGATCTCAGTCGGGACTAAGCCAACTCCTGGTGTTACTGGCGTTAGGTAGGGAGCAAAGCTAATAGCCGTGTTCGTTCCTATTGTGGGACCCACTGGAAATGTGGGCTGAAAAAGGAAAACACAGACTGAGATGAAAAAAAAGCCCTTAATCAATAGCTTACTAATTGTCTTTTGTTCGTTCTTTCTGGCACTGATCCATTTTGTTAATGAAAAGATTTCAAACAGCTGGCRAAACACACAGCATTCTCTCTTCTTCTAATCATGTAACACACTCCAGCAGCAACGAAGAACCACCTTTGTAACTCTATTATTGGAAAAGAGTCTGCTGATTCAAAGGAAGTCATACTTTGAACCTGAATCTCTGTTGGAGGTCCAGTTTACATTGCAGGCTTAATTACACATCTAAATGTAGAAAYAACATAGACTTTATTGCTTTTTCTCAATATCTGCTTTCCTTGGGAAAACAGGCTATTTTTCAAAGCATTCACATTTCATAGGTGAAGCATTATTAACTATATTAAAGCCATATTTCCAATAAGAGTACATATAATGAGCCCTTTGGCATGTAACTTCCAGTATGTTTGCATACTGTATTTTTCCACCTCCTGCTATTACATATTAGTGTGTCTCATACATTGAAAAAACTCACCTTTGCAAACATTTGTGTGCTCAGCTGTCACCAGTGGCAAGCAGAATAAATGTTATAATCTCAGTTGGACAAAGTGTTTAAAAAKGGATTATTCAGGCTTAGATTAGTTCATCATATGAAAAACTTTGACTGAAGGGAGTGATGCGGGTTGAAAAATCTTGTTTTGTGCCTTCCTACAGTGAGTCAGTGAAGTCATGACCAGAAGAAAGAGCACTTGTGTGATGCTAAAACAGCCGTGGTGAGGCAGAATAGTGGGTTTGTTACCACAGGGRGTGGAGGCAGAACATCACCATGGTCAGACCACACTCAGACCTGGAAAGTGCTTTAGTTCTGCAGARCTGATGTTTACCCCAGAGAGTGAAGCTATAATTATAAATGATGAAAACTATGCGGAAAAACAGGACATATCTCAGATTAGTTTTGTCAGAAATTAAGTTCCCAAAAAGGRCAGCAGCTAGAAGCACAAGAGCACAACACTAAGACTTCAAAACACTTTAACAAAGGAGAAGTGTCTTTTTCATCAAAGTGGCCTGCATGACATAAAGTACGTAGAAAATATGCAAGAGAAAGAACAGGAGCTGGAAGGGKTTTTTTTCTGTTTTGTTTGAGTTTGGGTTTCTTCGGGGTTTTTTTATCTGTGGAACCAATTACTGAATTATAAATGGATGTGACTTAGTACCAATAAGATGCTCTGAGCATGYAGATTAACCAGGATAACCAACTGTACGGAAATGGCATCTACCTGCCCTTAGGAGTTAGAATGTATCATGCTGTGTTTTAATCATTGATCAAATCTGCTTGATATCAAGCAACCCAGTTTATATGTCAAACATGAGCTAAATTCTGAAGACCATAATAACGAACATTTATAAGAAACAATGGTTCGACTATGTTGAGCACAATATGTGTTATGTGAAATATAAATAACAGCTTTGTATCAGATATGATTTTAAGAAGAAATGCACATGTCAAAGGACTTCTGTGAAATTTTCTTTCACTTTTTATCCATTTGGTCAAGGCTGAGTCATCTTAATCTGGCAATTTATATGAGACAGAGAAATAAAACCTGGCATTTTTATCACAGCAATCAGTCCAGAAGACATTACGTCAATGAAATTGTAAAGTTCAAATGATGAAATGGRTGAGAAGAAAAAAGTGTAATTTTGCCACTTCAATTCTTCTCATAATATTAAGCAGTAGAATCTTACTTCATCAAAACTTTTTCTAGTGAAAACTCAGGCAGTAGAACCCCAGGAAATACCAAGACACATTATGTCAGCATCATCAGATACAATTTGATGAACATATATCAGAAATTCAGGGAGTCCTGACACTCAATTCCCAATCCCACCTGTCAGCAGATGTTTCAAGTATAAAAACAAATTTTTGAAAAAGGCAAATGCAGATGCCTTCTTCTGAGATGCCTACACCTGACTTCTGTGGTAGCCCATGGAAAGACAAAGGCACTTAGAAAACCAAATTATCTAATCCGAATGTGGGTGTCCAAAACAAGCCAAGTAAATAGTAATAAGAAGCACCTTATGTCTTTTGATAAACTATAAATGGACCTTGGAAGCCCAGTGCAGAAGTTGATGCCAAGACTCCAGATGCCTCAAGTTAGAGAAAAAAATCCCACTCCAGTGGGATACCTTACACTAGGAATTTAGATTGAAAAAACATTAGCAGCCATGTGTAAAAAGTTTAATTCAGATTATTTCCCAGACCWTGCTTTGGAAGTCTGCTAAAGTGAAGAGCCCAACTGCAAGGGCTGCCCAGAGCAACTGATCACTTTAGTGCACATCCAAAGATGCTGCTCATGCATGCCAGACTCTAGTTCCATGTCACCTCCTGGATACGAAGTGTCTCAGGCGTCATACGAATCACCTTGAGACAAAACACTGAGTTTGTGAAGTGAATGCACCACCAATTTTCTGTCTTATCCTCAGATACTTCAGACTTCAACAGAGTAAGAAAATGCTACCTATTAACCATTGTTCCCAGTATTGGGATTAAATAATATTTAAAGCCATTCAAACCCATAGACTTTTGAAAAACGTTGTGTTCCTACTCAAATAACTTGCTAGCAAATTATTGTTATTATATAAATTTTCACCTCCAGAAGGATCATAGGTAAAAAATCTTGCAAACATGACATGAAATGCATGAAGGGGGAAAAAAAAGAGGAAAAATTGCAAATCATTTTGTGATAAAAGAAAAATAAATCAAATCTACAGAAGCAATCCWTTACATCTCCAAGTGCAAATATAAATAAGCATTTCTCTAGCATCTTGACCATTCCTTTAGTAAACAGACAGGGACTATATTCATTGATAGTATTTAGAGAACTTTTGCAGGTCAATATAGTCTTCAACTTTACTTATTTTACTTACCATTAACACCATCAGAGAAATATACTTACCACTGGCTGTAATGGTGTCCCTGGAAACATGAACTGCATTTGTTGAGCGAGCATTGCTGCTGCAGTTTTTTGTTGGATTAAGTTGTTTCTCCCATTGATTTCCAGTTGAGTTTTTAAATGTGTTGGTGGATGAAGGTACTTGCAGTTCTCCCTTGTACAACGACCCTGGAAAAAGAAGTCACACTAATCGGTCTGCTGCTTTTGATGATAGTTTAATGTCTTTGAGCAAAATATTACACCATAAACTAAGCAAGACCTAATGAAACACAGGGTGTTTCCTGGTAACTATGTAGAGGGCTGGGAGGAGCTGATGGCCTTGAGCTTTGCCTCAGCCCAGCACCTCTGATTGATCATTAAGGCTATTAGCCACAGAGAAAAAAAAGAGAAAGGCATTTCAGCATTTTCATTTTTAAGGATAGATCACTGCCATACAATTAATAATCTCAGAACTATCCAGACTGCCTGAATTGTCTCTCATGACATCTTGGCTAGAGTATCTGATGTTACCATAACATAAAAGTTTTTTTATAAAGGACATTACATTATGAATAACAAATTGAAACCTTCTTTAAGAAAAATGCAGCTTTAAAAGTAATTGTGTGATCATAGCAGCGAGGATCTGAAGTTGCCACTCTCTGCTTGTGCTCTCTCATACATTCACCCTTATTCCAGTTCACTGCCTCTGAGCCTCCTGTTTTTATTACATCAGCACAACTTTGAACTATTTCCATTCAAGTATAAAAGAACAGAAGTAAAGGTGGTATTTTTACAGCCTAAATTTAGAAACAGAGCATGGATCTAAATTTGAAGGTACACAGCAAAAGGAGAGCTCCTGATCAACATGAAAGGAGGAATTTTTAGACAGTTACAAGATAATAAGAGGCAATAAAAATATAGGTGGGCTATCATCTCAGAGGTGGCTTGGGTTGGAGGAGATGTATCTACAAGCTGACCACAAACATAGGTAGAGCAGCATGAGATGCACTGATATATTTTCCCCCACAAAAAGGAAATTGTAGGGTGCACCAGGAGGTTGTGCAGCTGCAGGGCAGGACCTGGTGAGATCAGAAGCTCCTTGATGACATGGTTCACAAACAACTACAGAATTTCAACAGTTGTGACTAGAGGGCCTAAAGCATTAGTCAAACCACATTTGATACATTCAACTTGTATAAATTAAGTTTCCAAATTAAGATATTTTTTAAGAAATGTTTTTTGAACTTTCCATTCACTGTTATTAGGGCTTTACTATTCGTAGACAAGCAGGAATGTCTCTGATAGTCAAGAAAGCGCCCAGATCCCTATGCAGGAATATCACACAGTACAGACATACACTGACTCCGTATATGCACTCACACACAACCCCCAGTACMAAACTTTCCGTAGGCTTTAAATGTCCCAAAACTACAAGGTTAATGTGATACTTTCTACTTTGACAGCAAAACAACACTGATTCTGCCTCTAATCTGCTATAAGGATGTGATACCTAGCAGCTTCTTCTATGTCGAGGCTGATGGGAATGCAAACAGCTATTTCCATGCTACTCAGAACAGTCCTTTCCTGAGCTGCTCCTGACTGCTGCCTGGGAGTATGCTAAGCAGCAGAGGCCAGAAAACTCAAGAAAGCTGAAAATTCAAGAAAAAGCAATGGTTTAAACACTCAGGAACAATGGTCTCAGTGCTGTTTTAACCTCCTAGTACACACGCAGCCACTTTCAGGACATCATGCTTTCCTTCTGTTGAGAGAATCACTAATGCTGCCTGGTTTAATGATTTACATAAAAGGAACATTACTTTGTCAGCTGGCACGAGCAGAACCAGAAATAGTCACAACCTGATGGACACAAAAGAAGGCTGTCTCTTTCATTTAGGGGGAATGTGACCTTTGCCATCATAATGCTAAATTGGAGCAGGCTCAGCGCACACAATGAGCCTACACTTTTTTGTTGGCTGATGAGGCCAACTGATTTAGACATTTTCAACTAAGATCTATTTTACTTTAGCCTATTTTGTATATGAATGGCTCAWACAGCAAATCTAAAAATTAAAAAAGCAAAATCCTATCGAACTACTGAATCTGATGGAAATACCGAGCTATGGAATCAAAAATGCTCCTTAAATAAGGAGTGAGAGCACACCTCTACCACAGAGGCTTCTGAAGCACCTTAAACCCGAAGAGTGCCTTCAGCCAGACCTCCTGTCTTACCTCTGAAAGCACATAGCTACTGTATRCATCACCTCAAGCTCTGCAAAGCAACCCACAGTGCACAAAAGATTGGTTATTTCTGAAAACTTTCAAAATAATCCAACCATACAAAAATGTACTGTCCTCTCTAAAGTTATTCATGTCTGTGCCTCGTTTACTAGTTTTGAGCTCCCAGTTAGCAATGAACGTATGTACTATAAAAGAGCTGTGTGGTCTATCCACGCTGCTATAGAAAGCCCTCTAAACAGATCAAGCCTTGTTGAAGTTAAATGACCCAAAATAAACTGCAGTGGAATGAGCACTGAAAATAGTGAGTAAATTAATCCAGACCTCACTACCAAAACGCAATAAAATCTGAGACCAGCTTTTTTACTTTTTAGACCTACAATGGTAGTAGGAAAACACCTATAAGGAGTTTTTCACYCCATTTTCCCCAAATGCTCCATGTCCCAACTACTAATCAATGCATAAATAAAAATTCAAAGTTGTGGTATAATTTCAGTCAAATGGAACCCTGAATTTTTTTTGTATATTAAAAAGTGACATATGAAGTCCAACTGACATGACAGCACATAACAACCAAAAAGTAGAACAGGCAACTGCACACAAGACGCAAGCATATTCAATATATTGGTTGAGTCATCAACAGTGAAAGTCCTCTTTGTATTCTTGCAAAAAAATACTATGCTAGCAGGCCACATCATCACAAAGACAGACACAAAATCAGGTACTTTAACTCCCAGTTGCATCAATACCAAGCCTCTGGAGTGAGGTATCTTAAAACCACAGCAGTTTAGGAGCTGTTCCACAGACATTTGGTCCCTCCGGCACACGACGGCACAAACTCAGCAGGATGAGGCAGGCACCAGGGAAAAATAATTGCTTCTTACAACTTTTAACTTGCTCCCAGATATGAGTCAGAGTCCTGAAACTGAGGGCACAGACAGATTGGTTTGAAACTGGGTCCCTAGAAACTCCTGTCACCCATGAAGTGAAGGTTATCAACAAGCACATCATAAGTGGTTGTGTACTTCCCAAGGGAGCTCATATGAAAAAATCACTTTCAATGAGCAGTGGATAGAAACAATGAACTGACATCAGATTACATTCCCAGCAATYTGTTACTGCCCTCATCCTGGAGGGATGGTACCTGCCTCCGACCTTTTATTTCTTTGCCTTTGTCCTCTACAGCTGCCAAACCTACTGCTGAGAACCCCATTTCAGGCAGGTAACAGAAAAACTACTTTTTTACTGCTAATTATCCAGGAACACATTGTGGCTTGTGTCAGGCTGTGCACCGTTTTCATTCCAGTAAAGCAGTGGGAGAGGGAAAGGGTGCACTGAGGAGCTCAAAACTCAAAGGACTTCAGTGCCCAATAGCAGGGCACAGCAAAGAGAGCATCCMCTTCTGCAGGGGCAATGGTCTTGGGAGCGGCTTCATTTCAGAAACACATCCCTTAACAAGCCATGTCACACCACTGGTTTCTTTTTAAAAATCAATAGATTTTCCCATTAAGAACAACAGGTAGTTTGTCTAAGATCAATGCCACAAGACAGCCCACAGGCTAAAGAATATTAAAAGCTAGATATGTGCTTAGAATTTTAAATTTAAAATAAGAATGAGGTGAATGTAGAAGTAACACCCCATAACTTCATGTTAACATACAAAGAATCAACTTCCTATCTACAAGTTGTACAGCCACATCTCCATCTTTCATATTTCATAAACTCACAACTGCTTTCAGTATTCTACTCTTGCACTAATAGTAACAATAATAATAGTTAATAGTAACAATAATAATAGTTAATAGCTTAACTTAATAATAGTTAAGCTTGGAAATTGCTTACATATAATAGTGAGTTAGCTTTTACTTATTAAAATCACCTTTATCTTTCATAAAAGATGTTTGAATAGAGAAAAGAAGGCAAAACAATGTTTCTTCTATCTCTTAAGGCAAGAATCAACTAAAGCTTCCAGAATTATTTTGCTCAGGTACTGAATTTCAGGCAATTTATTGATGCTTTTAGTGGGAAATAATAGAGCATGACTCCTCCACCTCAAGCATAGCCAAACATTTGACACACAAAAGATAGGTTATTTGATGAGAAGCAGAAAGTGGAAGGCCTGCTGCCTTGCMGGTATATGTCCCTTGTTCCCAGCCTCACTGCCCAGGGTGCTTCCAGCTCCCCCTACCCATGTCTGTTCTCCACGAACTCCCAGCTTCCTACAGTACCCCACCTCCCTCCTTCCTTGTCCCCCACAGCACCCTCCCACCTCTCCTAACTATAGACCAGGAAACAACTCACACGATAATTATAACTTGCTTGAGCCGTGCGTGTCCTGAAGGGCCAGCCAAGACGTGCACGCTGCTGGCAGACCACACTCGGGAGTGGCGTAGTGCCCATTCCTGCCTTTTCCTTAATAGGGTAAAACTTTGGATGCCTCTTCTACCCAGACACTGGCTTTTGCATAACCAGTAAGAACTTTGAGATATGTCTTTGAGATGTCTGCTTCTAGCAACTTTGCTTGAAACTGGCTACATTGTTCAAAAATTATTATAGTTACAGGATGATGCTAGCAAAAATATGGACAGTGCAATTATGCAAAACCTGTTTCCTTAAGAGAAAAAAGTTAAATCTAACAAATGCAGATGAAATTACATGGTCTCTCAAGATTAAATATGCATTCTAATGGGAAAAGGAAAAAAGTATATGACTTCCAAGACATGAATGGTTTCAGAAGGCATCTGAGCAACTGGTTCTACAAGGGAAAAAAGAGATTTTCTGGTTTCCAGATAAACACTATGAGATCCAAACATTTGCTGGAGTTAGAAAAGACACACACAAATTTTTAAAAAATAATAATCACCTAGTACCAAGACTACCTCACCCGCCTGAGAAAATCTTTTGCAATTTTCTGCATCATGCAGCTTCAGCAAACTTGCACATGCCTGTAAAGG